AAGTAGGAAAGGAACCATAAACATACCTTGGAGAAAATATAGTCTGTTCAACAAATGGTGTTTGGATAATTGGAAATCTATATGTAATAAAATGAAATTAGACCCTTATCTTTCACTCTACACAAAACTCAAAGTAAATCAATGACATAGGCATTAGACAGAGACCCTGTGATTACTAGAAGAAAAAGAAGGTACAGATCGCCATCATGTCAGCTTATGAACAGAAGTAAAACCAATAAATGAGATGGTATCAAACTAAAGGAACAATCAAGAACATGAAGAGAGAATCTACAGAATGGAAGAAAAATCTTTACTACATGCACCTCAGATAGACCATTAACCTCCAGGGTATATAAAGAACTCAAAACACTTAACAGCAAAAACCAAAAAACAAACAAACAAAAAAACCTCACAAATAACCCAATCAATAAATGGACAAAGAAACTGAGCAGACATTTCATAGAAGAAATACAATCAGTCAACAAATATATGAAAAAAAATGTTTAACATCACTAGCAATTAGAGAAACAAAGTTTAAAACTACACTGATATTTAACTCACTCTGTTCAGAATGGCAATTATCAAGAATAAAAGTAACAATAAATGTTGGTGAAAATATAGTCTCATGTGGAGGAAAATGTACATTCATGCATTGATGGTGGGACTGAAAATTGGTGCAACCACTCTGGAAAGCAGTATGGAGATTCCTCAGAAAACTTGGAATGGAAATGCCATTTGACCCAGCTATCCCAAATCCTCAGTTTATGCCCAAAGGATTTAAAATCATTATACTACAGTGATGCACCCACATCAGTGTTTATAGAAGCTCAATTCACAATAGCTGAACTATGGAACTAACCTAGGGGTCCTTCAACAGATGAATGGATAAAGAAAATGTGGTGTATATATACACAGTGCAATATTACTCAGCATTAAAGAAGAATGAAATGATGTTATTTACTGGTAAATGGATGGAGGTGGAGAATATCATACTAAGCAAAATAAGCCAATCCCAAATAATCAAAGGTTGAAGATTTTCTCTGATATGTGGATGCTGACTTACAAGGGGGGTGGAGGTTCATGGGATTATACAGAGGGAGTGGGGCAAAGGAAGAGCATATGGAAATGGTAAGATGGTAGGATGAATCAGACATACATTTCCTACATTCATATATGAATACAAAACTAGGGTAACTCTACATCGTGTACAACCATGGAAGAATGGGAAGTTATACTCCATCTATGTATGATATGTAAAACTAAATTCTACTGTCATGTATAACTAAAAAAGAACAAATAAAGTATGTTTAAAAAAAGAGGTCTAATGGCTTATTTTCTGTAGATAATCACATATATTGAATTAAAAACAAATGAATGGAAGAAGGAAGAGATGAATGTTACTTGTTTTAAGATGCAGTTTGAGATGTAGACATATTTTTGGCGAAGTCTTGTTTTAATGACACATGTGAAATGCCAGCCCAAAAGTTTTATTTGCAATTCTGAAATTAAAAATAATCTCTGAAATGCAAAGTTTGTGGACAAATTTCTGGCAAACTCATTCAGCAGCAAAATCTCAACTGATGTAAAACTTGATGACCATTCTGAAATGGTGAACACAATAATATCTCAGGATTCCCTATAATATTAGCAGTTTGGTCTTAAATTTATTTACTTTTTATCCACCCCACTACCACCACCACCACCACTGGGCCCAGTGACTGATAGAATGCTCCCAAATGATGGTTAACTCTAAAGCTAAACTTACATGAGTTAAATGCAACCTACATAAAAGCCATGTTCATGAATAATTTGCTTTTTGAGTTAAAGCATTTATATGCAAACGACTTGGTCTCTGGAAAGTGTTTAGATTCATGGCTTTGTCTTCACATTTTCTGGGACCCAGACACCAGTGCAGACACAACACTTGCTCTGTTATTGGAATAGCACCTAGTGCTCAAGGTTGAGGTTTGGCTTTAGTTTTCTGTGGTACAGAGTCCTCTTCTGAGTTTCAGAATGACTCTGAGCTCAGAGGCAATAGGGACAGATGCTAAAAGCTAAATTCCCATGTGATTGTCTGCCTCCTCCTCAGGAGCACAAATAAGTCACAGATTTAGAAGGGCCACCACTCCTGTGGCTGTGCTATTTATTAGGCTATAATTTAATTTATGTTTGGAGGCAGGGGATTCCAAATGTAAAGGCCAAAGCACCAGGAAGCCTTCTTTACATCTCAAAAATGAGTCTGTGTCCTAGGACATCTACCAAGCCCTCCAGGGGAAGCTGAGCAAGCAGGATAAACTTTCTCATTGGCTTCCTTAAATTCGAGTGAATGGTATTATGCGTTCTTACATCAAATGCAGATGGGGCTGGACTCCACTTTCAGAGAAGAGGAGGGATTTTGAGTCAGTATAATTATTGCATCTCACGGACATGGCCACCCACCCATCTGGAGCCCTCTGGGCTCTGCACCCAGTTCACTTCCTGACTGCACAGGTTTTCTTTGGCACAGACAACAAATGCCTCAGGTGCTTTTCATTTGTCCCTTGCCAAAAGCTGCCACTGATGTGTGAAGTGCCTGGTTTGAAAGTGTTCCAAGGCAGCATTCTTTGGGTTTGAGGTTTGTTCTCACTGGTGCTCACCGGTGTGGTAAGTTCCCTGGGGGCTGAGGCAGTGGCTCATTTGCTGGGCTGAGCAGTGATCTTCCGCTGTGTGTCTGAGATTTCTCAGCAGTGAAAAGCATCCAGGTTTTGAGGAGGTTTTGGATTTGCCAATTATTTTCAAATGCATGGTGGTTGGTGTTACTTTCCTCCAATTCTCAAGTCAGAAGACAGAAAGTTGTTTTCTTGTCATCTTTGTTTGTTTTAGGCCACAGAATTTTAAGTCCAAATTTGCATTTCCTGGTTAGATTCCCATTGTATGTGTTGCAACACAACATTTCAGATCTGGCAACACAACCTGTTAGAAATCTCCTAAGGAGTAAATACTTGTTAACTGACTCTACGTCCCACTTCCCTCCCTTTCCAAGATTTTTATTCTGCTTAGCACCTAACCTATAATGTCTTTTATTAAGATCAGAAATTTATTATGTACAAATCTGAAACCTGAACCTATTAAGTCTATAGATGGAAATGCCATTTTCCAGGTGTGCAATCACTGTAAATGTGCAAAAATGTTGCACAACAATTAAGATTCAAAGCTTAACTTAAAATAAGCTGAGGGACTAGCATTTTAAATAGAGAAAAACTGCTCTGTAGACATGAGAAGAAATAAGAAAACTATGTGAGATAAATGAGAAGGGAAATTACAAGGATTGTATCCACACAGAAGTTATTAGAGGAGAGACACTGGAGGAAAGAAGGACATGAAGTTGGTAAACTGCAAACCCCTGCAGAATCCTCTTGCCTGCTCAGCTCTCCTCCCCACTGTCTTCCTGGGTCCCCCTCAACCCAGGCAGCTGCTCACTCCTCTGAGTATTTGGACATAATCACACCCTCCTGTGTGTCTGTTTACCTTTGGATGTGTAATTGCACTTCACATCATCATCAGGGTTTATATATTTTTAATTTTTTAAATAGTGATTATTCTTTTTTAAAAAATCTATTTTTTGTAGTTGTACACAAAAACTCTATTTATTTATTTATTTATTTATTTCTATGTGTGCTGAGGATCAAACCCAGGGCCTCAAATGTGCGAGGCAAGTGCTCTACTGCTGAGCCATAACCTCAGTCCTATTATCAGGGTTTATTAACTCTCTCTTCTACTAGACTTTAAGCTCCTCAAGGGGGAGGATCATGAGAAATGTCTAAGATGTCTAAGATGGTACATTCTATGCAGCAGGCTATCAGTGAGTGTTAGCTCTGTGTGTGTGTGTGTGTGTGTGTGTGTGTGTGTATGTGTGTGTGTAAATAGTGTCTGTGATAGAAATGCGATGTACCACCCAGATGATCCCTCCTCAAAGAAGGACTTGTCCCTTGGGGACTGTTCGTGGACAGCCGTCAGCTCTCAGCCAATCTGGAGATGGCCTGGGATGGGGAGGGCTGCCTCAGCCCCAGATCATGCCCTTCGGGGCTGGGCCATACCTACTGCCTGGGGCCGGCCATCTGTGCCTGGCAGGGACAGCTCTGAAGGCCATTTTAGCTCCAGGATTCTCTGTGAGCTTGTCCAAGGCTCCTGGCGTTCTCACAGGTTGGCCATTCTCTCTGTCCACTCCTATTCTTGCCTCTTGCAGCCATAGGTATTGCTCCCTATGAGTGCTCAGTACGCCAAGTCCCGGTTCAGAGTTTATTTCCAGGAGAACTCTTCTTGTAACACCTTTTAGCAGAGGTTAAACAATAGTAATGGCCTGGAGATAGAGAACTGAAGCAGAAATATTTTAATATCTTAAACAGTTTGGGGTTTTACAGGAGAAGAAGTAAATACAAAACTGAGAAAGCAAAGTAGTCTGGTGGAGAGGAGTAGTAGCTCAGGAGCCCCAGAGCAGGTGATCTTGCTGGCTCTGCTGTGAGCACAGGCAGTGCATGAGCTGGGACAGTCACACTGTCACCCTGGGGCCTCCCATCTGTACTACAAAGAAAAGGAGTTAGAAAAAAATATCTCCACATTCCTCTAACTCTAGGAATGTACAGTGAGAATTCGGCTATGAACAGGTTTCTAAAAATGATCTCAAAACTATAAATCCAGAGAAAAGGAAATGTACCATTCGGGGCTGCAGGCAGTGATATAACATCTCTCAGAGAAGTCATTCTGGCAGCTCTTTGGGATGTGTGAGAGATTCTTTGATGGCTGCTTTCTAAAGAGAACTGCCACCTTTCAGGGAAAATAAGGCAAAAGTTCAGCAAAGGCTAGGGCTCTGTGGGTAGGGGACATTAGGCTAGAAACATGGTAAGAGATGAAATCAGATCCAAAAACATTATCATTAACATTAAAATGAGGAGAACAGCAGGAAGCAATATTTTGTAGTCTCAGAAGTAAAACTCAGGTAATTCAAGAAATTGGGCCAAAAATGAAAGTCGGAATCTTATTTATTTCATTTTGGTTTCAGGACCCTCTGGTTTATATTTTGTTTCATTAAAACAAGTCATTCAACATATAATTATCAAATACTTATTTCTATCAGTTAGGTTTTCTTGGCACAGTCAACAAGGAACAAAAGAATAAAAAAGAACTAACAATCATAGTACGTTAACAGAATAGAAAGAAAAGTGGAAGCAGGCAGGCTCCCAAGAGGGGAAGCATTGATGCTGCAAGGATCTAGCAGCTGGAGGAAGAGCTCTTCCTGGCTCCACACATGCTTTATCCTGCCATCTGCTTCTTAAGGTTCAGTTTCCCGGGAAACAAGAGGATGGACTCACTGGAGTTATTTCCCAAGCTGTGACAGGAAACAGGGAAAAATTTACTGACAGTCCTACCACGATTTCATGCACTGGGGCAGGGGCCAGACACCAAAGAAAGATCAAGGATCTCTTACCAACAGAAGGGAGAAGCATGGATGTTGAGCCATCAAAACTTTCAGACGCCTCCCATCTCTTCTTTGTACCAGGCAGATGGGTATGTACTGGTGACAGGCACAGACATGCCCCTGCTCTCAGGGAGCACATAGTCTGGTGAGAAAGCATAGCGAGATATGGGAGGGTACTGTGCGGGTGGGCGGGAGGAATGAAGAGTGACTTCCAGTGGTATGAGATTCCTTTTGGGGGTGGTGAAAATATTATGGAATTAATGGTAATCAACGAATAACTTGGTGAATGTCTTAAAATCACTAAGTTGTACATTTTAGAAGGGTAAATTTTATGGAATGTGATGGTCTCTTAATAAAGTGGTTAATTAAGAAAATGAAAAAACAAAATATAGCAACCACCACAACAGTAAACAGGGTATGGCAGATATGTCCGTTGGCTACTAACACCCATTTTTCAATCTAATTTTTCCTTGACCACTTCCATTACACAGTTTGGAAAACTAAAGGATTTATTTTCCACATTCCCTTTCAGCTAGGAATGGCCAAGCAACACATTTTTGGCCAATATGTACAAGCAGAAGTTTGCTAGAGGATTCAGAGGTACCTGGCACTATTCTTTCTCCTTTCTTTTGCTTGAGGCATGATGTCTGTGGTACAGCAACCATGCTGTGACTATGAGGATGAAACAGCAAGTAAAAATACTGGAGGAGAAGGCATGAGCCAGCCTAGGGCCTTCATATTATCATTAAAGAACATCTTTGTTATTTGTAAACTATTGTTAGTGAGGTTTTTTAGCTACTTGCTGCTGAATGAATTTCTAACTGGTAATATGGGGAAACTTACTTTATTTCTAACTGGTAATATGGAGAAACTATGGAGTCTGGGAAGGACTCTGAGGAAGTAAATGAAGTATAAATAGAAATATCTAAATGGCTTGTGGGCTTTGAAGGGAAGGACAATCATTCTAAAATATTTGTGCCTATTTTCTTCATAATGCATGTGAACTGAGCTGGGCTAAAATTTCTGAACATTCACATCCTTTAAACTCAGGGAAAAATATTTATTTTTATTATTATTTCTATTATTAATTCAAAGAAAATCCCTCCAGCATGGTCTGATAGAATTCAATTCCTTCCCAGCTATTCGAGGAATCAATGGATTATTCTTCTTGTTTTTAAATTTCTCTGCATCTACCTACAACTTACTTTCAATCTCAAATTTCTCTCTTATTGAAAAGAAAAATCCTCCTCCAGCAGCTACATTGTTTTTTGTTCTTCCTTGAAAACTTGACTCTGTTTTTTGGTATTTACTTTTTCTCCCTTACTTGGTAAGTCTATCAATTCTGGCTGTTGGACAGTTACTCCATCATGCACTATATCTGGTCTGACAAAGTCCCTGGAACAATAGAAGGTGGCTTCTATTGTTATGGTTAAAGCTTCATCCCAGGGTTTCATAAACTGACTTCCAGTCCACTCATGTATAATCGAAGTAAGCCTTTACTGAAGCACACTGGTGGTGGCTGACCAGAACATAAAGCTATTCCCCTGATTAGCCCTGAACAATTGCACGCTCCTTATAAGCCTGAAAACTGCAAAAGGGATGTTCGGGGGTCTAGCCAATGCAAGCAAGCCAGGTTACAGAAGAGGGAGAGTGCAGTCAAGCGGCTGGAAGCCTAACCAATCACAGTTAGCCCAGTCACCCCAGTTACAGAAACAGAGCCCCATTACCCTAGTTACAGAAACAATGCCCCATTAGGTAGTTCTGTGTTCTTAGAGGTTTCTATAGCAAAAGGAAAAGAACATCTTGCCCCAGTCATGACCCTTGTACTTGGCATGGTTGTTTTAAGAATGGAGTCACAAAACAAAATAGAGTCACATTTCCTTTTACTATCACACTATTAGGGCAGGAATTTTGACCATTTTGTTCACCACTGTGTGCCCAATCATCACAGTGGTGCTAGCGTATAGTTTCTGCTCAAGAACTATATTGATGCCTTCTTAAAAATCAAAACAATGAACTTTTTCTTCTTATCTTACTTTTAAATGCTGTTGCCTTTGTAATTTTTGATGACTTTCTTCTTGAAACTCACTCATCTTTTTGTTTTTTTTGTAACAGAATTATGTTTTATTCTCTTTTAAACGTTTTGTTATTTTTATTATACCCACATATGAAAATAGGAAAACACGATGATAATGGTACAGGCTCAATTTCCAGTGAAACTCATGGCCAAATTTATTTTATCTGAATCGTCACTCAGTCCCTGCCTATGCTAATTTGAGGCTATCACAGGCATCATGTCATTTCATCCACGTTTATTCTAGCTTGTGTTGCCAAAAAGAAAATAAATATTTTTTTAAAGAAAAAGAAGAAACATAATATCATCATTATATATAAAAATGAATAATAATCCTGGAATATCACTAAATGGATTCTTGTTTTTATTTTTGACCCCTTTGTTTAATGGAAAGTGGGACAGATAATTCCCTGGATGGTAACCTAAATTCTTAGGAAACCGAAACCACTTTACTTTGGCCAATAATTAAACTGAGACTTTGATCTTTAGTTGTCTGACACCCATGCCTGCCTCCCAGTCAATTCTGAACTTGAGAGGAAGAGTGATGCTCAGCACCATCAACAGACTATAAATGTGATTTAGGAACGCTCAGGAAAATGCCAGATCAAAGAGCTGAAGAGTTGAAAGTGATCACTTCTGGGGAGGGGACAGGTCTTAGTGGGTGGGGGAGAGAAGCAACACTTTTCTCTTTGTTTTAATCTTATTAACAATATGTGACTTTAAGATCTATATATATATATATATATATGCTGGAAAAAAAATTTAAGAAAATAATGAAATATGTATTGTATCAAAACACTTACGCTTAACCCAAAAGTCACCTCTGCAACCTATTGCACCCTGCTCACGGGTGCCCATTCCACTAGATACCTGGGGTTCCTGCTTTCTTCTTTTTGCCCTTCCCTCACAGATCCAGTGATGCAAAGGTCCTTTTCTTGTCATGGGCATCACCACCCTGTGTCCCCATTGCTCCTTGACTTCTTCCTGATCTCCAGCATCTCTCACCCGGATCATGACAATGTTGTGATCATTTCATTCCTAAATTCCTATGTTGAATTCCTAATCTCCACTACTTTGAGTGTGACAGTGTTTGGAAATAGGACTTTAAAGAAGGAATTAAGGTAAATGGGATCATAGGTTGAACCCCGATCCAATGACAGGTATCTTTCACAGAAGAGGCAATGATACAGACACTCACACAGAGGGAAGATGATAGGAAGGCAGGGGAGATGGTCACCTGCAAGCCAAGGAGAGAGGCCTCAGAAGAAATACTCCTGCCAACCTCTTGACCTCAGACTTCCATGAGAAAATAAATTTCTATAGTTTGAGCCATTCAGTTTATGATACTTCATTATGGAGGCCTTAACACGCTAATATACCATCTCCCTGCCTTCATCTAAAGCTAAAAGGCAGAGATAATATTGTGTTTGCATGCTCAATACAATACCTGGCATATAATAGATGCTGAAAAACATGATGATCAATCAGCTGATCAAATGAATGAAAACTGAAATTAGCACAATTCTGTTTTGTAGCATAACAAAACAGTGAATTGACAGATAATATATGTGGGAATTTTAAATTATATATCTATATCTATATAATTGTTTTAGAACTTGTAAAGGTGAACTGAAATGGCAATTTATTACTTAATTTTGAGTTTGTACACTCAGAATGAGTCATGTCCAGCCCTTTAAATTGGGTGGTTTCTTCTTAAAACATGAAATCATGTGCTTGCTCCAGTAGCACATATTCTAAAATTGGAATGATACAGAGAAGATTAGCATGGCCCTTGCACAAGGATGACATGCAAATTCGTGAAGTGTTACATATTTTTAAATTAAAATAAATTAATTAATTAAAAAAGAATATCATAAACCATACGGAAAAGTACTATAGCTACCCAGTGATTATGCTTATAAATTTGACACTTTATTAAAGTTCCCATTTTAAAAACGTGGTTTCCACTTCACACCTAATAAACTCATTACATATTTTTTAAGCATAATAAAATTTCTGTTTAGAAGTGTTTTACCCTGGTTTCATGCTTCAAATGAGCATCTTCAGTTAAAAAAAATCCAGGAAAAGGTATTAAAGGTGACCTATCCAATAACTTTCTTTTTTTTATAGTTTGATATATGTAAATGTTTTAAATTATCACACTAATTGTACATTTTCATGGAATACAGTGTGATATTCAAATAGATGCATATGATTGTGTTATGATCAGAATGGGGCAGTTGGCTTATCTGTCACCTCATGCATCGATCATTTCTTTGCCAACCACTTTCTTATACAGATAAGAAGCAATGGCACCCACTATCATGCAGCTGCCTGCTACCAGAACCAGTCTGATGCATTTATTCTGTCTCTCATGAAAACAGAAGCTCTGCAGTCAGAATAGTTTGAAGAAAATGGAATTTAAATGTAATTCAACAAAGGAAAAACCAGCAAACATGCATATATAAAAATAATAGAAAACGAATGGCTCTTAACATTATTTCTAAATAAAATATTGTAAACGAGCTTCATCCAATCTTGATACATCCTTTGGCTTTGGGCCATTTTAAAATACTTATTTGTTTTTGCAAAAAAAAAATTGCATTTGAATAATGTATATGCAAATTGCCTTTGAATAAGTGTAACCATAAAGATTTTCTTTATTCATTTATTGTCTTTCTTTTAAGGAACTACAAGTGTTTCCACTTAAGTTAGCTGTAACTTGTTGCACCTGTGCTTTTTCACTTAACCTTAACACTTTGGATACTTAAACAGTGATTAGAGCCCATGAGAACAGCACTTAATAAGGAGGGAATTATCTTGACAACATAACAAATTTACATTGTCTACCCATACATTGACACAACTTGGAAGCACTATATGAAAAAGGAAAAATGGTGAACTTGCTGTGTGGAGGGTGGGGGAGAATTCAGGGAATTCAGACTTTTCAGGTTTCAGAGGAGTGTGTAGGGCTCAGAGTGCAAGGGCTTTTATGCTTTATGGTGTCCTCATGACAGGCACAGTCACAGATTGTAAGGGTGAATTCTTGCTCTTCTGCTTCCAGAATATAATGC